TTATATTTGTGCATAATTTTTCTGATCGGTTGACAAATTGGATCAATTTCAATGTGTTTGTTGATTGACTTGAGTGCTTAGCTTCTAAAAAACTCCATGTCAATGCAGTCCACATTAAGATTCCCAATCTTAATGTATTTAGATGTTTTGATGTCATTTATTTTGAAGACTGAAATTTTCTAATCATCGAATGATCATATTTGACTTAAATAGGATAAATACACTTATTTATTAACTGACCTACTATGAACTAATTTGTACATAATAACAAATATCTGATTCATCGTCTATATCACATTCATAATTTTAAATATATGTTTCATCAAGATTGAAGTTCGTTAGAAAATTCTCTAAAATTGATTAGGTATTATACTGCACTATTGAGTTCATTATTCACCTTCCGAGTATTGTGTATTGATTGTATATTTTACTTAACTAAAAGTTCTTATCAATTTGAATTATAACTAATAATTTTATAGCTTCTTTTAGTTTATATTACTAAACTTCAGTTGAATTCAATCAAATAAGTTTTATTTATCATTTAAGGCACTTCATTTTCATTTGTTTCTTGAATATTATATGGAACAATATTACTAATTCAACAGCTAGTATTATATAACTCAAATAAGGAATATCTTGATGTCTTAAGTTATTTTACAATTAATAAAACACATTTCTTACAATACTTTAAATGATATTAAATCTATTCATTTTTATAGAAACAAACTTTTCTCTGTCATATAAAATTAGTCAGTTTACTAAGTAATATTGTGGTGTGTGCTACTTATATTGACATAAGTAGTATATGATGTTACTCGTTAACAGAAAATCTGGCAGCAGAGAGACAAGAGGATCGAACAGTAAAGCATGGAAACAGGGTGCAATTTGTACGAAAATGCAAGAATAATGAAGTATGAGTCATTTTGAGACAATTGGTGGACATTTTGCAAATTAAGCATTTACTTTATGATTATTAAAAATTCCCATTGTGAAAATTAGAACAACACATATAAGCGAACAATTGTTTTCAATTAGATCGTCATCAGGCTTTACTCTAATATACATGAATATTTATACGGAAATTTTAAACCAATCAAGGCAATATGAGTCAATAATCACAATGAAATAGAATAAGTCACTACACATAAAATAGGTAAAAGTACAAGTTGATAGTACGAAGACAGGTGAACAGATAGTGGTAAGAATAATAAACTACAATAACAAACTCTTATCAATAGTTAATCGTTGGAAATAGAAGGTCAAGTAAACATGGGTAAATACACTAGGAATAGTAATCACAAAACCTTAAAAATCATTACGTAATAAGATGTGTGTAAATAATTAGATAGTGAAGAATACAAAGAGGCGGATAATGACAAACAAATAATGGATGTGGAAATAAGGTTAACAATAACACAGATAGAATAAAATAAATAATGATAATAATAAAATTTAAAATAAAATAAAAATAAAAAATAATAAAAAATTGTTAGTTAAGTTATAACTGGCCATGGAAGGGATAGAGGGGTCACGTATTTCTTCTGTACACATAGATTGGGGTTATATGTACGAATTCCAATGGCTTCAGCTATATATAGGAGACGGGAACGGACTCCGTCGGGAAATGATGGAGGTATACGATAGATAACTCGAAATGATTTCGATTTCTCTACTGCATGACCGCTATCAATAAGATGTGCTAGTATAGAACTGCGAATAGTTTTTCTCTGACCCTTTATGTACCAAGTTGGTAGATGTTCACTCATTCGTTGGTTAAGTTGCCTGGTAGTACACCCTATATAGCTATCTCCACAGGAGCAGCTGATTTTGTAAATGCACATGGAAGAGGCCAACTCAGGTAACTTATCCTTCGTTTGAGTAGACATCGCTGGTCGACAAGAGAAGGTCAACGCAAGATTGGCTGCGTAGAATGTCTTGGTGATTACTTTGGTTAACCTATATTTCAGAGTGTCACTAGCCACATCCCCGTTGAATTGCACTTTCATGTATAAAGGTTACTTACGAACAGTCGAAATCTCCGACTTCTTTATTATATCCTGCATGTATTTCTTGATGAACGCGCTGGGGTAGCCGATCTCGGTCAGTGAGTTCTTGAGAAATTCAAGCTCCTGACTTAGAGTGACTCATATTGCCTTGATTGGTTTAAAATTTTCGTATAAATATTCATGTATATTAGAGTAAAGCCTGATGACGATCTAATTGAAAACAATTGTTCGCTTATATGTGTTGTTCTACTTTATGATTGCTAGATTTTATTAACAAATCCTGTAATTTTGTGCTTATTACATTCGATTGTTCAGTATAGTATCTTTATCTTTTGATACTTTATAATAATTTAATCTCTATAAGGAATCAACTTAATCAATCACAAATTTAAATATGTACAGTCATACAGTTTTCTTCCTTTATGAATATTAAACAACTTAAATAACATTTAACTAACAAAATGACATCAGCTTTCACAAAGTCTGTAAACCTTTTATATAAATACTCATAATTTGTTACAATTTAATACGATGCTTTTTTTGTTTTGTTTTGTTTATATTCATATGAATTAAGTAAACAATTAGACTAGACTCAACCAGTGATTTTAATTAACCAATAAGTCATAATGTTTTTTTTCAGGTATCAAAACAAATACGTGTCTACATGTTTGATAAATAACTATGTAGTTTATTTCTAGTTTAAATTGTTAATTGAATATTGTTTTAGATTATTTGCTTTGTTTTCAAACTAGACAAAACAATTAGTCATTTCACTGAGTGAAATCATGAGTCAATTGAAGCTAGACCACCATGGAAAGCCTGGAAGCACTGGCTCAGTGGTCTAGTTGATTAAGCGCCTGGCACGAGACTGATAGGTCCTGGGTTCGAATTTCGCAAAGTGCGAGATTGTGGATGCGCACTGCTGAGGAGTCTCATACTAGGACAAAACAGCCGTCCAGTGCTTCCAGACTTTCCATTGTGGTTTAGCTTCAAATGACTCATGATTTCAATCAGTGAAATTTGTAACATCTCCAAAAGACCCCTTCTGATAATTAGTCATTTAATTTTTAAAAAAACTTTAAATATTTTTACTGGGGGTTTGTGAAGATTATCAGATATTTTAGTTAGAGAGCTATCAAAACACAAAAATACTGGTCAGCTGACTCATTCTTGTATTGATCCATCTACAGTGTCTATCCATGATCTCACCAAGGATCGAAATAAAGACCTTCTGTTCTGCTATGTTCGATTAACCTTCATATTATTAAACCACTGTACACTGGTATGTCATGTCAATTGTCAAATAGTTATCTACTTCATACAATGAAAGTTGGTTGTGCACTGTCGTGAATGGATGGCAGCTCAGTGGTCTAAAGGTTAGTCGCACTCAGTAAGGTCGAAAGTCTTAAGCTCGATCTTCGATGAGGTTTCTGATGCACATTGCTATGGAGTCCTATACTTGGAAGAGGAAACTTCCCATGTCCGTTGGTTCTCAATGGTTTTCTATATAAAATTTGTCCGTGATGTAAAGTGTGAAAACAATCTGTTACAGCTGCATATCACCATATAACAAAATGCAAAAATATTGATCGATAATAAGTTATTAGTATGGATATTGCTAGTTATTCCTGAAACATAAACTTACTTTTCATATAAATAGGTGTATATAACAATTTGTTGGTATTTCATATTGGCTTCAAGTTTGAAGAATAACATATTTGATTACCACTACAACTAACTGATTATATCACCTGATATAGTGACTTTATAAAGTTAATAAGATGAATAAATTTATTTGTTGAAATTATCTTATGATAGAATAAAATGCTTTCTTTTCAATAAATTTGATTTTTTTTTAATTGTGGTTGATATTGAAGTTCGATAGATTGGTTTGATTTGAGTAGATGAATACTTCAAACATCTAAAACCTCTTAACGTTTACAACTGATTGACCACTGGGTGGTGATCGATGTCATGTATGTCAGATCCTTCCTAGTGCAAATCGAATCCTATCGATCGAGTTGCAATGTGGCCACCAGTCTAGATGACTCGACATTGCGTGCACTATGTTGAGATAAGATGGTGGTCGGAGGTAATCAACAAGAAATCCTGGACCTAGGTTTCACTCTACTTGTCACTCGTGAGTAAGGTGTACCTGTAATCTTGAAGGAACTGATGAGGATCAGATAGCTCAGTGGGAACGTCTCTGACTGTGAAGCTAGGTGACAAGGGATCGAATCAATCAGGAAGCATCAGTCCCCTCAAGATTACGGGTATACCTTGCTGACGAGTGCCAAGTAACACGAAACCTAGGTCCAGGGTTTCCTGGTGACGACCTCTAACCCCCGCCTTACCTGTGATCGTATTATTGTAGTAGTGAAGATTTCGTAGATATTCTGAAACTGACTTTATATACATATTCCTTCAGGAAAAAATTTTTACAAATTATCTAATATGAGTACAGAACATAATAGGCCTAATCGGGATCCTTTTTAAATCATGTATCGGTTTATGGAAATTTTTCTATCAAAGATATATGCTTGAAGTTGACTCCTTATGTCATTATACCTCATATAAAATGAATTATGGTAAAGCCTGTGATAATATGTAATTAACACTTTGTTTCAGCCTAGATGAGTTAACTGATCAGTTTCGATAAACTTTAGCATATCTTTTCGGAATCAGGTAATTGTGAAATCAAGAAACGACTACGTAAATATTTCTCTGGGATTACTAACAATTTCAAGGATTCTACACTTAGTTAAACTGAATACACAATAGGTATTAATTTATTTAAGACTTAAAGTTTAAGGGTATTCCAAGTATATGTTGAGTCAAGTGCCTATAGATGATATTAAGTGATTGTGTAATGCTTCTTTTCACGTCATATAAAGTTTTCTCACCAGTATTTCATTAATGTTCGTTTGATTTGCAGTAATATTCAGAGTTCATATAACATTTATCTATCTGTTCTTAACATTGTCTCCTTATTAGGCCTTCCGTAAAGATGATGTAATTGGTTGTTTTCTTGATCTGAGTAACGGAATAATACAATGGTCAAAAAATAATCGCTTATTTGGTCCTGCTTATGAAATTGACAAAAAATTATTGAAAAACAATGAACCTATCTATCCTGCAGCTTCTTTGGTCGATACTACTTTAGAATTAAATTATGGTGACTTACCATTTAAATATCCACCAGAAGTAAGTGATAAGATTTTAATAATGAATTGACCTCAGGCTAAGATTCATTAAGAGTTAAAGTGATGAATGGTAAATTTGTTCCGGTGACGTATTGCTACTCAAAAAATTGTTGAGTATGACGGCAGTGGATCCCAAACTTATAAACATGAATATTTACGTTGTTAATATTTCATGTGATCTTTATGGCGTTAAATTCATTTGCGAACTTCTATATTTTGTAACAAGTACAATGTTTCGAACACTGATATGTTGATTTAAAAGACACAACTTGAAGGTTCTTATTTCCAAAAAACATCAAAATACAATCAATCAGATATACGATACTGAATAAATATAAAAGATTAATCAGTCAGTTAATTGTATTCTACAAATACTATTACACTATACTAGTACTTTCACATGTTTACATATAAGACTATCTGTTCTTATGATAACTTGTCTACAGTTGTATAATACTGTTCAAATAATTGAGTTTGTTGTCAAACACTAATTTACCATACGATTTTCAGTAAAGAATTTTATTTTATATTCGATTGGTGATATAAGAGGTGACAAATAAATAAATAAATAAATAAATAAATAAATTTCTTGGTTCAAACTTAAAAAATAATAAAGTCTACTTGTTTCCTTTGATTTTAAACTTGAGGCATACATTCACAATTTTTTATTCAATACATGATAGTCAACTGTTATTCAGTAAATTTACGAGCTACGATACAGTGGACGTGTTTGAGGTTATTTTAGAAAAAAGATCTTCAAGTGTTTATATTCCCAAACTTATCAAAAGATTTATATTGACTTCTTTTACCTAAAATTTGGTAAATCATGAAAATCTTAATAAAGTAATTGATATACAACTATATATTATAATATCAACAAAATCCCTTTTTGACATTAATCAACATATGCTCACTAGTGACGGTCTCCAAGAGATATTTCCTGGAGTTCTAGTAAGAAGCTGTGACTAGTGGAGTTCAACCAGTTCTGTTGTGAGATAGTAACTCACTGAAGACAATGATGGATGTGTCGCTCAATTTTGTGGATTAGTTAAAGTTAAACACTAAAACCATTGTATGCCGGCTGGTTCAGTGGTCTAATGGTTAAGCGCTCGCGCGCGAGACTGATAGGTCCTGGGTTCGGATCACGTGAGGCGGGGTCGTGGATGCGCACCGCTGAGGAGTCTCATAATAGGACGAAATGGCCATCCAATGCTTCCAAGTTTCCCATGATGGTCTAGCTTCAAATGATTCATGGTCTCAACTATTAAAATTAGTATATAACTTTTAAATGAACCACTTGTTAATAAGAGTAAACTAATTACTTATATAATTTTATTCGTAAAAATACTAGGACGATTGGACTCCATTATTTGCAGCTTCAGACGAATATGTATTCGAATCACCAAAATGGCCTAGTCCAGTAAGTGTTGTTTAACCTTTAGTATATTTTTTCAGATTAGCGCTATAATAAACCAATAGTTTTAATAAAGTGTTTGTAAATGATAAGATAATATGACCAGAAATGTGTAAACAAATTGCCTGTGATCTGGGGATCATTACTTGCAAACGCCACAACTTAAAAATCAAATCAATCTGTAGCTAGGTTTTATATATATATATAATTAATAAATTTGTAACATAAATTTATTGTGCTTTGGATGTTAATTAGAAATATATAACCTGCTTTTTTCGAATTATTATCAATGATAGGTTTCAGTGTTCACAACGACTCTGTAAAGTCCATCAAATTATAAATGACAGTTAGCATTGATCAATGTTTTATTCATATATTTAACAATTTTTATATAAGGCACGTATCTAATTTATTGAAACGAACCTTTATTTCATTAAAATATAAATGAGCTAGTCAATCTTCGTAAATGTATATTTTACAATAAGCTTATCAACTCCTTTTTAATAACTTTAGTTGCAGTTGTCTAAACTTATACTTTTTGACATTATATCGTACTCTGAGTTTGATTTGTGCATTCTCAACTGGCGATGTTAAAATCAGAAGTAGGATTCAACGGGCTACAATGAATTGAGTGTGAAGATACTTATATCAAGTAGTGACGCTGTATAAGTGATTACATATAAATTATAACAATACATAAATAGTTAATTAAATAATTATCTATTTTAATGGTTCATGTTTCCAAATAAAAATTATTTCTTAATCATTGCTTCTACCATACTCTATTTCGTCACCGAAGAATACGGTCAAACACAACAGTCACTCAAGAAAACATTTAGTTACTCATAATACAAAGACAGAAGTATATACTGAAGATCAGAAAGAAATCAGTCTAAATTCAATCAGTGACACATATGGTCATTCTACAATAATAAATAATAATCTTAGCAGTGATAACAACAATGTAAAAAGTAGCAGCCCAAGTAAACTAGAAGATATTCCTGTAGAATCAATACGTATAGAATCCCCTTCATCAAGTGATCAGCAAGAAGATGAAGTAAGAATGGTATGTTCGATTCAGATTTTGAAACATGACTTATACTTTAATAGTGGATACATGTAACGAATCATGAATTTGAAACTTTAATATTTTGATTCGAATCGTTCTTCATTGTTCATGTATTTAAGTATTCATTGTTTGATACATAAAAGAATTAAACATATACTCTAAAGAACTTAACCAGTGCGATATAAAAAAACACAAATAAGTTCACTTGTATAAAAGAAAAAAGCATATTTCCGAATGGATTTAATGTGTTAATCGTCACTGATTCGCACTAAAATTACACCTATCAGTTGCTATCCCTAGAATTTTATATCTGACTAAAAATACTACGCTTTATATATATTTTTTAAAGAAACTAGAATTATAATAAAAGTATGGTTATATTGTGTATATTGATTGGTTTAACAACAGGATAATTTATCTAACGAAAATGATATGATCACGCAATAGGATGAATCGAAATCGGTCGTAGAAAATTTTGTATCTTACTGATCAATGACGTAAAATGTTGATTTGTATTTCTGCAGCTTTTTAAAAGAACGAATCTTATTTCCAGAAAATAGTCTACTTGAATGTTATTTACCATTATGTTTATAATGAGCAGTTTTCCGTGTGCCTTTGAGTGCAATAGTTAAAGTTATTGATATTCATTTTATAAATAAATAATGGTTTATCTTGTATTTTTTCGATTAACTAACCCGAAGAAATGGTCTTTATCAAAAGTCATAGTAAATAATTAAAGAAATAATACCTAAATCTCTTGTTGTTAAACGTTGGAGAATCGATATGGAAGAAATTATAGACCCACACAATTCAAACTAGTTAATATTCAATAACCTTTTCTTCTAGCCTAAGGTTAGATAATTTTAGTTGCACGCCACGTAGCTCTAAACCTGTTTTCTTAAATCACAGCTATTAAAACAACCAAATAATCATGAAGAAACTGATTTTCTTCTTTGAAACTTCAAATGTGTTTTACTGATGACAGTAAGTGTGAATTTCAAGGCAAGAGATAGCACATTTTTACGAAAGACCATCATAAGCGAAATATAGGGCATTAAAGATTGGGTTAGTTAACCGAATAGTTACATTTTAGAACGTTATCATATTGTTTTAGATTTCCTAAAATACTACAATATGTACCTAATCACTATGTAGCAACTTTTTTCTTGAAGAAACTTGATCACTCCTTAAAATTGTATTTTTTTAAAGTCAGATCCGAAATTAGTGACAAAAAGCTTCACAAATATCTTTATTAAAAGTTACTTGGGAATCAGATTCAACAATAATTGCAGAAGAGCTGGCTTCTAGAAGTTAAAATCAATTGATGGCAGCTTCATTAAGTATTGATATTATCTAAAGAACCAGTGGGAAACTTTGCTTTGCTCTCGATATTACGGCCCTTGTTCAGGAGGAAAGTCCGGAGCGAGAGAAGATACTCGTTGCTGATAATAGGCACGATCAAAGTGTAGTAAGCACTTATTGAAAATAGAAGTACTGACCATCAAGTTCCAACGCATCTGATGTATAGTGATGTGGTCACTGCTACAACTGAATTATGTTTTGGATAGTCCTGTGAGTGAGTAGTTTCAAAGAGTCTAAATTTACTACAGATACCTTCCCATTTATTTAACGACCTTGTATATGATACAATCGGTAATTAAATATCGAACGTTAATAGAAGTAGATGACTACGGTATACATCCTCTAAAAAATACATGAGTTCAAGATATTAGCAGCAAATACATGACACATTGCTATAAAACGATGTTAATAAATTGTATTATTGTCTTCTTTTCGTTCATATTTTCTAGTTTCTGGAAACTTGTGAACCAATTACTGAAAGTCATTTTGATGCCTTATATAACACTTATACAAATCATCCGTCTACGGAGCGATCTGAATCACAAGTAAAACAGTAGAACTATTTATAACATTTAATTGTCCATTATTAATTACAAAGTATTTTCCTAGTTTTCCATTCTATGATAATATCTATTGAAATAAAGATACATTATGCCATTTATACTGTTATTAGCAACAGAATAAATTGAACATAGGCAACACTGGATACCACTTCCCTCTAATTTAAAATCGCTCTAATTTCCGTAGCGCAAAAATCTTATTTTCATTTGATTTTTGATGTTTTCGAAACTGTGAGATCTGTTAAAAAGATAGTACCAAAATAACCTAGATCTGTCTAAGGAATATCATACACTTTCCTCCTGTACTTGAAGCAATTCTATTCTTATGTCCCTCTTAAATTTATTGAGAAATCACTCATTAGATGCTGGCTAATGACAACCATTAAATATTCTATTCAAGATAATTTAGCATGACATCAAGTAAAGACATTTGTATCATTAAATTAGCTATAAATAAATGGAATTCGAAGCTCATCTTTAATTGATCTTTTTTTACTCTTCATACTTAATCTAAAGCCATTAAAGTGTATTTCATTTGATTTATACATTTAAGCTATAATATGTCGTCTAGCATTAGTCAGCTTATGTAAATATAAATAATTTATATCAACAATACGTCAAAGCAAACTATACTGATTAAATTACGCATTAAGAAAGTATATGCATATTTTGTTTAAATTACGAGGAATTTTCATTCCAAGCCACAGTATTTATTAAGTTTGGTTTTCTGTGAAATCGATCATGTCAACTAGCATACAACAAATCAGCACTTGGCAGCTAACAAACTAAGGATGAAGGCAAGTTGAAGGAAAACTTGAAGCACGATTATAATTTATGGACGAACCAATAAGAATTAACATGATGGCTGTTGGATTTTTGAGCGAAATTCATTTAATACTATAACTGATACCGCTTTGTGATGATAACCTCAGTTATAATTTGCAAACCTGAATCTTAATTCCTCACACGAATGTTTAATTGTATTTCGACCCTAGTAATTGGTTAAATGTTTTATAATTCACTTCACCATTAATCTAAGATCGTCCATTAACTATAATCCTAGCAAACTGATACAATTGTAAATATATATATAGTGATAAAAACGTGGCCTTCAAGCATACAGAAATTTAAATAAATAAAAGCAATTACAACTACTCAGAAAAATACAAAGATCATGTGGAAAATAGAACTGGAAAAAAAATGATTACGGTTATCGTTTCCTGTAAGACATTAGCATCGTTTTAACGATAGCCTCATCAGCTACGAGTTTTGTATATGCCTATTAGTATCATAAATAAGATCCATCCTTATTGAGTCAGTTTAGGATAAAAGTTCAGAAATGAATAAAATGATTTTCCATAATGGCTCAGACTTAGTTCATATAAGAAAAGAGTAAAGCTGAAATTTAAATATTTGAGCACGCTTACAAGAAATATGTGCAGGTAATAAGAATTAGGTTATTATTGATTAGGAATCGTGAAAAATAATATAGTACTCATAATACGAGTGATAACGATGGTAGTCTCAATAATAGTTATTATTATACGTACTATTACTGCGTAAGAAAATAACTAAGTCTTCTAATAAAAAATGACTATAAAAAGACATTCAAACTTAAGAGTTTACTTGATTATTCACTTGAAATTTACATCTTATCATCGATATCTTTTTTTCTCTAAAATTTTAGATGAAAACAAAACCCAATGGAACATATCACCGTAATCATATATCAAATTTTCACGCTGATATTGTAAGTGAGGTTATTTTACTTCTGTGGAATACACCCATTTTGGCAATAATTGGGACATAAAATGAGATTCTGAAAACGTTCTGACTTGTATTTTTAAGTCAGATAATGATTGAGTAGATTTAAGTCATATATTCATTGTACAACATTTTCTAACAAATCTGAAATGTGTGAAAACAATTTTATCATAAAGAGATGAATAAATGGCAACATGTTTATTTACTCATAAACTCTTCCGTAAAACTTTTTATTAGTAATCCCACCATAATTTTGTATTGTCTCTATACGAGTCATACTACTTTAAATCAGCAAGTAGTACAAATAGTTTTATGAATTTAATATTATCAGTATGGGGATTGTGTAGATTGTCGTATTTTCACAGTTTGAATTACGATTTAATCTAAGCCATACCATTGTTGAAAACCTGAAAGCACTGGACGGCCGTTTTATCTTAGTGTGGAATTCCTTATCAGTGAGCACCCACAATTCTGGACGCATGACTCGAACCCGGGACCTTCGGTCCCGCACGTGAACGCTTAACCTCTAGATCATTGAGCCGGCATTCAACGGCGTTGGAGCCCAACCCGTGTCAGGTATGTGATAGTTATTTACCTCAAACAATGGATAAAGGGTTAGGCAAGATCATGGATCGATTGAAGTTAGATATTAACACCACTGGATCCCGGCTCAGTAGTCTGAGGTTAGGCGTTCACAAGCGAGACCGAAAATCCTGGGTTTGAGTCCATTGTACAGGATCGCGAACAGGCACTACTGAGGAGTCTCATACTGGGGCGAAACTAACATCCGGTGCTTCCAGGTTTTGAATAGTGGTCTAGCTTAGATCAACTCGTGATTTCAACTGTGTAAACTTAATAATACTCATGGATGCGTCAGTTGATCTATAGAATATACTGATTTTCGGACAAATTTAAATTCCATATACACTTTTTTGAATAAGTGTTCATGATATTTTTATTTTGAAAACTGATCACTCGTGCATTATTTAAAATACTCGAACAATTATTAAGGGCGATTTCTTGACTGACATCAGGTGGTCATTAAGATGATAACCACTCTCTTTTCCATCTTCACGCTTGATGAGGTTGAAGTTTAGTAAGTGTATATACTCTTGTCATAGAGGCACTACCGCGCTTCAGCCACACAATTTATCCGATGAAAATTATATAATTGATACAGTAATACTTAGAAGAACAAGTTGAATTATGTTTCATTAACAACAGGCTAAGTTTCCAAGTATAAACCTATTCTGAAAATTTTGCTTGTTATTTGGGTTACAGATTTGCCGAAAGTGTAATCACTGAAAGATAATTTTAAAAAAATAGTAAGTATCAAATCATCAGTAACCAAAATATTACAGTGACCAGTCTCTGAGTGTGCAACTCGAATTTTACTAGTATCGCACAAATTTTCCTCACTTGTTGTGTTTAGATAGTTTCTTTTGGAAGATCAGATTTTGAAACTAAAATTTTAGTGCGTGTTGGTTCATACTATTCTTAATTTCATATGAAGTTACTCATTGATGCAATCTATCTCTTTCATGAACGATGCTAAGGTTGGCTACAATATAGTAGGTAACCATTATAATCATTACTGAAAATATATTCATATTAATCAACTTTTAAGAATTTAGATATTTTCCTTGGTTTCCTCTTCCTAATTTTTTTGGCAAAAACAGATTACTCCTACATGTGTCGATTCTGAATTTCATCAAAGTTCCACAACGTTGATAGACTCTGATCTTGTAAGTATCATAACTCATCGAATATGTGCTACCTGATAATCTAACAAAATTATAATCACGGTTATTACACTTAAAAATACAAATAGCTCTAACTTATTGCCTAACACACTAATTTGCAGCTTACTTGATTTACACAAAAGATAATGAAATGATAGTTGTTTTCATGTATTATTTTTATTTATAAAATATATCATTGAATGAAATGTATTTAATTTAGACTGAATAACAAATATGGTTTTGTAATCTTATTGATTTAATTCAATATTTACAAGCAATTAGTTATAACAACAATGAGTTATACATTTGACTTCTAAATACCTAAAATAAATACAGAAAAACAAGTGAATTTTGTATCTGACAACAAATAGAACTAATACTCATCTTATTCATAGGTAAGACATGAAAACGTTTAGACTGCACGATTGAGAAACTAACTTACCCCTATTTATGACTTTTAAGGTTTCATGATTTCCGCTCATTTATAGTTTATAATATCATGTTGTCCTATGCTAAAAAAAAGCTTGTTCATTGTGTATCAAAGTAATATAAGATAGATTTTAAGTTGATACCCTACTGCTTCTTATTTGAAATGAATTATGAGAGGGTATTCAGCACCTTGGTAATTACAAATACTTGAGGATAACTTTGATCAATATGAAATCTTCAAAACCATGAAATTATTAGATTGATACTGATTCCTACAATCAGTAATTATTCCTAAGCATATACTCATTCTGAATATATAGAAATATTTATTAAGATGTTAGTTCTAATTTAATTAGTTTATACACATTGAAATTACATCTTGTGTAAATAAGAATTAATCAAGAGTACTTCGGTTTCCCGTCAAGAATTATTATCATAACTTTTTAATAAATGTAGATTGATTCTTTTATGCTTTATTATGTAATTCTCCAATTTTTAGTTTAGGACTACTAGTATAGGGGTTGTGGTGATTATTAAGTTTTTGATTGAAATCATGAACCGATTGATGTTAGACCACCCGACGTGGATTAGCTCCACTGATTTCTTCAACCCTTTGGATATTTTTTTAAGTAATAATATATTGTTTGACTCCCATTTATACCAAATACTTTCAAACTATTCATTTAGTATTCAACCTCTTATGTATGAGACACATTGGGTGGGACTAGAATTTATCGACGAACTAATCAGGTATAAGATCATAGATCTCGGATTTTGTCGCGAAATTCACTCATCCATTTGGTTGAATAGAGTTTTGGCACTATAGCTTATGTCAGTTCGCTATGAAAACTCTAAATCTAAGTCTTAACCTTAGCCATCAAATGTAAATCTTAATCGTAATTCTTCACGCTGGTTTATAATCCTTATTTGGTTTTAGTTATTAGATGGGCACTCTTAAGGTCAGTCTATCGTCACACAAAGGTCGTCCATAAATTATAGTGTCACTATACATTATTTTTAATTCACCTAATTACATAACCAACTGAAGTTAAACTCTTATAATCTAAGTCTAGTATGAGTTGTATTACCCTTATTTTACTAATTTGCTATGATGTGTAAATTTATGTATATTTAACATGAGAATTTTAATGAAATGAACTACTTTTGTTCACTTAATTCTATGTTGACAAAATTAGTAAAACTCATTAGACTAAAATATTTATTTCAGTCTATTGACTTAAATCTAATGCAACAAATTTTTTTTAAAAGAAACATGATTAAGCAAAGCTATAGATCTTTTCACTCTGACCACTAAAGTGAGAAAAGAAAGGCTTCAGTTATTCATTGAGTATAACATGAATCAATTACATTGTTACTTAATGTTATTATAACGACTAGACTGTGATTAACTATAGTCATTATATATATATAGCAGACATAATTTTATCACGAATTCAAAAGAAATGCTTGTAATTCAGGATATTTTGATAAAGATTCCTCTCGTTTTTTGTCAATATTTCATAAAACTTACGATTAAAATATCATGAATTATCAAAATAAATATGTTGTCATGATATTTTTGGACCAAAATCTGAAGGAAAGAAACAGGCAATGAGATCTAAATCTTTCAAAATTACTTCACACTACTATTTTATCATAGAGTACTATTTTTAGCAAACTAATTCACTAGAAGTATAACTGTACATTTTAAGTAAATGGAGTTATCGTAAAGAAAATCGAATACGGTTCCTTTCACTGATTTCAAAATATGAGATGTAGTTAACCCCAGAATGAAATAGTCATTTGACCCTTCCTAACTCCAATCTATTTTATTGAGTTAATTTTTTATGAATCAGGTATCTCTTTATCTAAGCAAACGGTTAATCATTATGAACGTTAAATATTTTTTGTATTTATTATGATAGGTATATTAAAATTTTGTTCATATAGCTTTAATGAAATTTAATTTATGTTCTTTTAATTAACTGATTTTAGATTATGCCATCTAATTCAGATTTACATCGTTTCAGTATAACATGTATTCAGAGTGTTGTTTTAATTTATTTGTCAATTAATGTATCTCGAAATGTAACACCTCTAATTCATTCAATAAAAATATTACATTTTATTATTATTATTAGAATTTTTCCATTTCTCAAAGGCATTTAAACTAACGGCTTCTCATTTCACACTTCAATACTAACATGATTATCATCAATATTCATATACATTTAAGCGATATATTTGAACTAGAAAGAAACTTGCATCTTTTACTCTACTACTACTACTAGCCAAAAGTTAAAAATTATTGCATTTTAATTTAAATTGCACTAATTTGAACTATCTTATTGCATGTTAAACCTGCTGATGAGTCTCGAATAGGATGGATAACGCGTACTAAATTTCACATTCCTTCTATTCTACATAAATTAACGCATTTACTTTTTGTCAGATATATATATATATATATATATCATTTTCTTATTTTTGTTTTTTATACAGGCACTAGAAGAAGCCATTCTACAGACTACACATTTAAATCCACATACGGCAGTCCTAACGAACACATTGGATTCATATACAAATAATAATAAAAGTAATCATAAATGATCCTCTTATTGAATTGAGTAACAAATCAACGTTGAGAATCACTTCCATCATTCCAATAATAAATCATCTTAACTAGAATAAAAAACGACTTTTTTTTATATCGAAATATTAAAAAATAAAAAAATAAAAAAAGCAAATAACAACAATCAACGATAACAACTATTTATATTTTTTTAAATTAAAATTACAATACTACTTATTTTAGTTTATTGAAAACAAAAAAATTCAATTATGAAATATTCACATTAAATGCCTTAGTAAATATAAATTTTCATGTTTATATAACTAGACTAATTCTTTATTTTTTAATTTGTTTTATTACTCTTTATAATAATGATAATATAAATAGAGATATTAGAAGGCAACAACATCAACAACAACAACAACAACGAATAGATCATTCCCAATGTATATCTTTTGATTTCCCTTAAATTCTAACTGCTGATATTTATGAAATGAATTAAGATCATTTGTATGAACATATTTAAATTTCTTATGAATAATGATTAATTCATTGTTATTTTGTCAATGACATTTATCCCTTGATCATGATCTTGTTGAATGTTTAAATAACGACGTGGTTATTTTTCGTTGAAACCAAGTTGGGTTGTTTTTTTAAAAAAAAATATTTTTATGATCAATTAATACATATACCTAGTTGAACTATAAATTTCAATATTTAAAAAAAACCCATTTCGTATAGACTTTTCTTAAATATTAAAGATTATAGTGAATAATTAGCATAGAATAATGGCGCCTGCTGTAGAAATATAAACTATAAACATTGAGTTAAATATCAACGAAATCTTACTTGAAAAATTTTTTTTGTTTCGTGTATTTAGTTTTTATACTGTAAGCAAGTGAACGTTGTTTATAAGAAAAGATTCGAACTGATGAATATATACATATATCGTTAAGTGTATCATCCTGAAAGAAGTTTTATCAATCATCTGAATATTTTCTAGGTCAAAGAAAAAGTTCATCAATATCATCACCACTAATTATCTCAAATGGTTTATATATACATATAAGTTCAGTATATTCTTGTTTTCTGTTCCCTTTTGAATATTCTGATTTACTTAGCTTCATTAATATTTCTATTACTACAAGTTCATCGTTTGTATCATTTAAAATATTCACTTATATTATTAATTTTTTTGTTTCCATGCAAACATTTTATGTAAATGAACTGTAATCAAATCATTTGGAAAAGAAAAGAAAAAACAAATGAATATGACACTTTTCTTTCTTTTTTTTCCTATTTCTCCCATGTTAATTTCATTCATTCATTTGTTGATCAATTTCTTTTGGGTTTTTTTTTAATTTTATACTTTATAAATGTTTGTTTCAAATTGTTTTTTTTATTTTTATTTTTTAGATAAATAAAAAAATATGCACATCAGTGATAATAATATTCATAATAAAAAGATCATAGTAACAATATAACAATTGATTTGTTAGTTATAATATAAAGTATATTTCAGTCAGTCAGTAACAACGTAGAACTGTGTACGTACGTACGTACATCAATTCGAGTTGCTACACCACATTAGCACGTAGATACAGTTGTCGATTCAAATCCCACAGTGATAGAGGTGGTAAGAGTATAAGCAGTAATCGGAAAGATTAAGGTTTAAAAATGTTATTTAAAGTGTATAATCCAGTGAAATAAATTTTGAAGGAGAAAAAAAGAGACAAGGAGTATTCAGGAGATTAGAATTTGAGAGAACACAAAGAGTAGATGCACCTGAGCCACTGCAAACGATTTTGAGCCATGTCATTCAGGATCTCTAACCATTGGTTGTTTCACTATATAAGTGTTATTTGAATTACTGAATATTATTAACATTTTTAAAGATAATAACATTATTTCGATATGTGTCTTTCTATTTCTTATTTTCATTGTTTAATTGTAGATTTTTATTTCAGAAAAGTAGGTCAAATAGGGTATCTTAGTAGTTTCTTTAAAAAAATTCTTTATATGTTTATGTTTCTCTTCAATAAATAAGTCAAAGAAGCAGAGAATTTTTTAAGGTAACAGATTCAAGAAGTCAGTTATGTGATAGAAAAACTTCTTACTTATGAATATATGATTCATTCATAACTTTGAACTCCAATTCTGTTTACTCTGAGTTACCTCAGCCTACGTGAGTGAATCAACGAGATATTAGATTCAAAATCATTACTCAGTATCATATGTACCATGATTAATTTATCGCTTAATTTGGTATTGGATAGTTTAATGTCATCTAAATTCCTAAAGCTCGCTTCGTGAATCATACCTATCATCTTCATCAATCTCATATATAGTTATCTTCTGTACTCTTTCAAGTAAATCTGAGTATTCTCTTAGATAAGGATTTGTATCCTGAGCACAATAATCTCATTTAAATTTCACTAGGACTATGTATTATGAATGTATTTTTAAATCTACATTTGTGAAAGTCCCTCACAATCTTTATACTGTTCTAAAATCCTTTAATCGCGTATGAGAGTCAGCGAGTAGTGATCTTCAATTCGTACTATACTATGGCTCCTAAGTCATTGTATATAAGGTCTGAGGTCAGAGATATTTATCTAATTCTGGAGTTCCTGCTGTCTACATGCCTAGTATGCACAGATTTGGTTGCATTGGTAGGTGCTAACTATAACTAAGTTCAACTAGTTAAGATGTCGAGGTAAGGTTGAAAACTTTTTGTCCTGTAATCGCTTGATACTCCTCTTCGTATTTCAAAGTCGTCCATGATGAGAATCATTTAGAAATCAATAAGACAATATTTCAATAGTTTAAGAGATAAATAATAGTAGACATAGTATCATGACTTGCAGCACTTTATTAAGCCGTAGATTTTAAGAAAAAACCAAGGGGTTATCACGCGCTTTATGTTAATCGCTAAGAAAGAACTGAATAACCTACCAAGGCAAATCTCTTAGTATTCTTGTATTTTACAGCTTCAAATGGAATTCATATTGTGAAATCCTGTTGAACGCGTTGTTGTAGTTAGTGAGTACCAGAATAATTGTTTGCTTGTCTTATGACTACATGAAATGAAGTTTTGAGACGATCGGAGTGATTCTCCTAATATTATTACCTAAAGTCTATGGAGCTATGTTTCTTTGAGTAAATATTCTTCAGCTGCTAATATCGTCTTGATAATATTATCTTTTTTGTGTTGCAGTAATCCTTACAGCCCTGTGGTTAAGTAGGATTATTGAGTAACACTTTTAAAACTAATCTATAATGAATAGCTGTATTTGCTGGAAGTTCTAGCTTCATTTTAAAGAGCAAAAGCAATCCGACGTCGTTGATGTTAAACTACCTGACTGTTGAGACAAATGAAATCCATTTTTCAAGAATTTGGGGTACCGTACAGAAATAAATAGCAATCTAATTTTCATCATTTCCAATGAGAACCCCGAATGGTATTAATTCAAGAATGGAACCATCTGTATTGTTGGGTTTACGATGATTATGTAATTTCAGTCACACAGCAAAGACGTAACAAAATTTTAATATAATATTTATATTACTTTTAAGTAGTTAATATAACAACACAAATGTTTATTCGTTCCTAAGCGAAGCTTATATATTGTGGGTGAACCTTTAAAAAAAGATCCCTTATGATAAACTCAGGCTTAATATTTAAAAACAGGTTAGTTTGAATGATACTCAGTTAGCATACAAACAATCCATGTATTTCAATTGATCATAAAAGTTATCATAATTTAATTTAAGGTTTTAGAATAAATGAAATATGTTTACTATGAAATATTTTGATTTTAAACGACATTTTTTGTATTTTACCTAAACAAGTGGATTTGATCATGTAATACTTTGCAAAAAAATGTCAATCATTGTAGATTACAAAGCTACTAAGATTCATATATGATTAATATTTGAACTAGAATATCAACGATATATTCATAGACATCTACATGACATTTCAACAGTTGATGGTTTGTTATCATATTGAAACAATCATATTTTCAAATATACAATAAAATACAGGATCAAGGTTGAAAATTACAATATACTATACTTGATAATAAGTTGGTTTTCTGTCAGTCGGTATCCTTAAACTTTTAGTTTGAATTTCAAGGTTGGTTAGCTTTAATCAGTTATATGTTTTACTAACAGAAATACAAATTTTAAACATCAATTATTTCCATCAAATAAACTAATTTAAAGGAAAAATATAGAATTCACTATTTAATAAATAAAGTTGACATTATATATCAATAGGCATAGATATAGAACATTAGGTTTATTAACCTCTTTTTGACAATTCAACAAATTATAGACATATTTATCTGTAGATATATAAAAGTACAGTGGTCTTGAGTGTTGTTAGATGCATGAGGGCAATTATCACTTCCCGGTTGCCCACACCGTGGAAGGGTTCTTCTGGAGGTACCTGAAAAGGAAGTCGGATTAGAGGTGGTCTTAGTGACCTGAGAGCGTGACCGCAGTGCCCAAGGGACAACTGCTTGAGGTCGGTCACACACAACCTTTTTATGAGTAATTTTGTGTTAGCTCCGTACTTGTTGAGACCTTACCGCCGGAGATGGATATTCGTGAGATACGGCGAGGTGTTCACTTTTAGGGTCGACCATTTCTAACTCCACCCCTCCTTGTGGGAAGGCAGAAACGCTGTCATGCTGGTTGTCTGAAGGAAACACCTTACTGCCGTCACACCTCTGTACAGTCAGCAGTACGACTTCGCCTTCGGACCTTGGGTTTGTTGCTTTTAGTTTTATCTCTCTTCAACCGACCTTTCTGACATGGTAGGACCTTGGGGAACGGTTGTTCCAGCCAGTATAGCTCGGTTGCTTCATCACGATGGGCAAGCCCGTTCACCACGTCAAGGTAGCAACAACGGAGTCCGCGTGACTATCGTAACCAGTGGTTGGAGACTCTGGTTGACATGGTTCAGAATCTATCACAATGGCGTAGATCTATACACTCTTTATCTTCCCTTAAACTATAAGATTAAAATCGCTTCATATCTTTCTTTCTACGAACTAATTCTTTCTTGCTGTATTTTGTCCTTCTTTACAATCTTTCTTTTATATATAACCACCACTGGATGAACTACTTCTACG